CGCCGCCGCCCCCGGATTTTCAAGAATCGCCCCCGGACTTCGTGCCGCCGCCCCCGCCGTCTTTGGTGGGGGACGCGGGCTCTGATTTGCCGCCGCCGCCGCCGCCGCCGCCTCCTGCCGCGCTGACCCCCAAGTCCGACAGGCCGCCCCCCACGGCCGCCAAAAGGCCTCCCGTCCCCCCAAAGAGGCAAGAGAACCCAGGATCCCCGAGCGGGGCGGGCAGCGGGGAGCAAGATTTCATGTCAGACCTGATGAAAGCTTTGCAGAAGAAGAGGGGCAACGTGGCCTAGGGGGCCCGGGAAGCGTCCGTGTGTGACGGGGACGTCATTTCTAACCTCACGTGCGTGTTTTGCTACTTCGCTGTCGTGACATCATGTTCATTTTAGATAAAGTGTTGAAATGTTCCGACTAGAAATGATGTAAAACTTTTCACTGTCGTTCAAGTGCATTCCTAACCATTAACCTAAGACAGAAGTTAGAATATCTGCCTAAATGTACATAGCGCTCCTATGTATTTTCACCTAAATGGAATTTATCTTATCTTCCAAGCCAACTAAAATGTTGTTTTCGGTTCATTTATTATGTTCAGAAGCATCAAATTAATAAAAATTTCTCTTGAAGATGGTATTTCTAGAAATATTGTATAAATCTAGTGCACTATCAACACTATAATATACTGAACTTTTTAAAAATCACTTTAAAAACTACTATGTCTTCTTAAGTCTTGTTGATTTTAGACATCTTCTCCATCTCTACCTCTGTGACCTTCAGGATTTTCAGAAAAATCAAAAGGGGGGCGGGGAGGTGACAGGCAGAGTATATTCAGTTTGTTTGTGACTCATCACTTGACTGATTGGGGTTCTAGACACACACTGTTTCGTTTGGCCTTTTTAATGATCGAATAACATAGTCACTGAAAAAAATTTTTTGAATTTTATTAATACAATGTTTTTGAATTCTATTAATACAATGCCAAAAATATCCTATAAATGAAAATGTAGAAACAGGAAAAGGCAGTCTTAAATATTTTCTTCAAACTGGAATGTTTTCCCTCAGAGATAAATTTAATGCCTTATTTTATTTTTTTGGTAGCTGGACAGTATGGGGATCAGGACCCTTGACCTTGGTGCTATCAACATGGCATTCTAACCATCTGAGCTAACCGGCCATCCTCAAATGCCCAGTTTTAATAACCAATTTATGCTAGGTTCCTGTTACCCCGTCTCTCCTCTTTCTAAGTGGCTTCTGATAGGCCTTTTAAGATTTTTCTTAGTTTCACTTCCCTGACTATTTTGGGGGGCTTTTTTTGTTGTTGTTGTTTGGTTTTCTTTTTTATTGTAAAACTCCTCAAAATCTCCATGGGTAGAAAATAATAAATAATGCATTATTTGTTTAATTAAATAAGATTAATTTTATGTTTCAATATTTGGGAAAAAATAAGATCTAAATTGACACTCAAAACAAAACATTCAGTTTTTGGTTTCTTTTTTCTTTTTGGCAGCTGGCCAGTATGGGGAAACGGAACCCATGACTAACCAGCCAGCCCCAGTTTTGTTTTTTGTTTTGTTTTGTTTTTTATTGCAGCCCCAGTCTTAAGACCAAACTATTTAGTCATTAAAACCGAGAAGGTGCTCTTTAATTTTTCTTGAGCATGTGCTTGAAATAGGATAGAAGATAAATGCCTTACATTAAATTTCATCTCATGTATAATAACTCCCATTTGTTTTAGTTTTATGTTCTTTTGGTGTCAGATGCAGTAAAAACACAGCTTTTCTGATACCTGACTAAAGCCTGGTAATTATGCAGATCTCTGGGAAAATACAGGAGAAGTATTAATGGCATAATTTTGTTAGAGACTGACTTGGAGAGTTAGAGGTGAGCAAAAACAGGTAAAATAGATGTCTGTAACCACACAAAGTTACCCAGGTTCCTTTAACCTGAGGTAGATTAATGAACCAATCTCGTGAGGCTCAGGACAAAAGATCGTTCATAAGGATTGTTACTGATCTGTATCAAAATTACGGCCTGGTTTGCAGATCAGGAAAAGATCCAGCCCACTTTATTAGTTTAGGATTGTGTCTTTATGTAACAAAACCAACTGGAGCAATGTCGAGGAAAAAGCCGGAATTTATTACACGGTTCAGAGGCAGAGTCCCAGGAACCTGAGGTTCAGCGTGTGCCTAGACTCCCAGGCAGGCCTAGAACTGGTTCCTAGAAATTCATAGCTCTCCTCTCCTTTCTCATCTCTGCTCCCATCATACACTTGCCTGAGCGTCACTCTCTTTGTAAACACTGTTACTCTCTGCACTGTGATACTTTTCAGTTGCTATGATGGAAGACAGTCACTTCACAACTCTCAAATTTCTATCACGTCTGTCTAGAGGCTGGGACAGACCAGCTGTCTGTCTTTCACTCCTCCTGGGAAAACTCTCTGAAAGAACCTCTCATGGACCAGGGTGATTAAAGGGTCATTCCTCATCAAATTATCTGTAGCTAGGCCATGATAAATAAAGGAGGGTCACTCCTTTACTGTGCATCAAGAGGGGTCAGAGAGCAGGACACAGGGAACTGGGGAGGGGGGAGATGGAGGTATGTGGTTGTGATGGTCCTCACAGAAGACCCAGAAATGTCACTTCAAACATATTCCTTACTTCACAAAGAAGAAATCAGGCCTGAAGGGTTGCTTAGCCTGTGTCCTACAGACCTAGATCACATCCCACGTCTCCTAACTTCTATCTATATCATACCTCTCCTTGATAAGGGAAAAACTGTAAAAATTCAAACTGATTACAGTGTTTGTAATTTGACAATATATAGTTTAAGAAAGCTACTGAAAATAATTGATTCTGTGGTCAAAATATTGATACTGTCTTAACTAGAGCAATTAGACAAGAGGAAGGAATAAAGGGTATACAAATTGCAAAGGAGGAAGTCAAACTGTCCCTGTTTGCAGATGACATGATCCTACATACAGAAAACCCTAAAAGCTCCACACACACACACAAAAAAAAAACTCTTAGAAATGATAAATTCAGAAAAGTCACAGGATACAAAATCAACATACAAAAATCAGTAGCATTTTTGTACACTAATAACAAGCAAGCTGAAAAAGATATCAAGAAAGCAATCCAATTTACAATAGCTACAAAAAATTACATATTTAGGAATAAATTTAACTGTGGAGGTGAAAGATCTATACAAGGAAAACTATAAAACACTAATAGATATTGAAGAGAACAGAAAGAATTGGAAAGACATCCCATGTTCATGAGTTGGAAGATTAATATTCTGAAAATGACTATACTGCCAAAAACAATCTACAGATTCAATGCAATCAGTAGGAAAATATCAATCACATTCTTCACAGAAATATAAAAAACAATCCTAAAATTTGTATGAAACCACAAAAGACCCCTAATAGCCAAAGCAATCCTGACCAAAAAGAACAAAGCTAGAGGCATCATACTACTTGACTTCAAAATATACTACAAAGCTATAGTAACCAAAAGAGCATGGTATTGGCATAAAAACAGACACCTAGACCAATGGAACAGAATAGAGAACCCAGAAATAAAGCCACACATTTACAGCCAACTGGTTTTCAAGAAAGGTGCCAAGAATGTTCATTGAGGAAAGGACAGTCTCTTCAATAAATGGTCCTGGGAAACTGGATATCCACATGCAGGAGAATGAAACTAGATCCCTCTCACCATATACAAAAATAAACTCAAAATGGATTAAAAACTTAAATACAAGACTGAAAACTATGAAACTACTAGAAGAAACATGGGGAAATGCCTCAGGACAGTAGTTTGGGAAAAGATTTTATGGAGAAGAGCCCAAAAGCACAGGCAACAAAAGCAAAAATAGACAAATGAGATTATATCAAACTAAAAAGCTTCTGCAAAGCAAAGGAAACAACAAAGACACAACTTGCAGAATGGAAGAAAGTATTTGTAGACTATGCATTTGACAAGGGATTAATATCCAGAATATACAAGGAATGCAAACAACTCCATAGCAAAAATAACAATTTTAAAATGGGCAAATGAGCTGAATAGACATTTCACAAAAGAAGACATACAAATGAACAGTACAAATGGAAAAAATGCTCGGCATCACTAATCATCAGGGACATGCAAATCAAAACCACAATGAGATGTCATCTCCCAGTTATATTGGCTATTATCAAAAAGACAGAAAATAAATTCTGGCGAGGATTTGGAGAAAGGGGAACTCATACACTGTTGGTGGGAATGAAATTAGTACAGCCACTATGGAAAACAGTGTGAAGTTTCCTCAAAGAACTATAAATAGAACTATCCTAAGATCCAGTAATCCTACTTCTGGGCATATATCCAAAGGAAAAGAAATCAGTGTATCTAAAAGATATCTGCACTCCCATGTTTACTGCAGCACTATTCACAACAGCCAAGATGCAGAATCAACCTAAGTGTCCATTGACAGATGAATGGATAAAGAAAATGTGCAATATATATGCAACGGAATACTATTCAGCCCTAAAAAAAATAAAATAAAATAAAATCCTGTCATTCACAAAAGCATGGATGAGCTTGGAGGACTTATGTTAAGTGAAACAATCCAGGAATAGAAAGAGAAATATCTGGCTAGCTCAGTTGGTTAGAGTACAGCCTTACAACACCAAAGCCAAAGAATTAAGAATGTGCTGCTGGGGCTGGCCCAGTGGCGCACTGGAGAGTGCGCCGCTTAGGAGTGCGGCGGCGCTCCCACTGAGGGTTCGGATCCCATGTGGAGACCCAGTTCCCGCTCACTGGCTGAGCGCGGTGCGGGCGCAACACCGAGGGTTGCGATCCCGTTGCCAGTCAGTAAAAAAGACAAAAAAAGGGAAAAAAAAAAAAAGAATGTGCTGCTGGACCCTCCACCCAGACCTGAGCCAGGGAGCCTGACTAAATTATCCTATTTACCCCAAACCTGGTTTCACCTTGATCCTTTTTATCATCCCACAATACCATGTAAGACAAGAAGTTCCTGTACTATGTTCCTGGATGGGAAGACTCAGTGTGGTAAAGGTGTCAATTCTTTCCAAGTCAGTCCATAAATTTAATATAAACCTAATCAGAATCTCAGCAAAAATTCTTCTGAAACTTAACAGGCAGATAAGAACCTTCATCTAAAATAATTAAATAGCAAAGAAAATATTTTAAAAGAGCAATGATAGCAGAACAACTGTTGAAATACACTTCAGTATAAAGTCAAAATAATAAAAAGAGTGCCATTGCTAGAAGAGTTGAAAAGAAAAAAAATAGAATAAAGTCTAATAATGCACTCAAAATATGAAAACTTAGTACATTATAAAAGTTGCAATTCAAATGTGTGAAAAAGAGAAACTAATAAATAGTTATCTATCAACTTGGAAGAAATTGTCAACAAATCTCAGAGATTAAAAGTAAGCATTCTAAAAATACTAGAAAAAATATCAGAAATTTTTTTTTAGAAATTTTAAGGAATACTAAAAAAGAACATAAAGCCTCAAAATGCCTTTTTTTCCAAAATGCCTATTTTTTAAGTTGCCAGATTTGAATGTATGACAATTAAAAATCTCTGGCAAGACACCATTGAAGAATAGTAGCAGTAGAAAAAAATAGTATTTGCTACATGAGTAACAAAAATTATCTGCTACATGAATGACAAAAATTGATATTAAACCAATTTTTATGTATCAGATTGGAAAAATATAAAACAATAATATCTAGTTCTGGTGAAGATGTGGGGAAACTGATATTGTGATACATTGTTGGGAGTATTAACTGTTAAAGCCTTGTTGGAGTTCAATTTGGCAGTATATATAAACATTTTAGATGCATACACCTTTTAACCCAATTAATTCTTTTTGTAAGACTCCATATACAAAGACATACAGACAAGGATGTTACATTTATAATGGAAGAACCCCACAAATCCTTCACTTTCATCTGGGATGAAACCCAGATGTTCATTAATACATAAATGATTTCAAAAATGTAACTATCATATGAAATATTTTAAAACCATTAAAGCAAATTAGGGATATCTACACATATTGATATTGAACATTAATAAACAAAATTAAATAAAAAGCAGCTTATAAAACAATATGTAGAGTACACCCCTGGTCATATAAATACATGCATTTACATATGCATGCTTGTATGTAAATATGTAAATGCAGAGCAAAAGTCTGACAAAATGCAAGACTTATAAAGGGTATTACCTCTGAGATACAGAATGGGCATAGGGAAGACGGGAAAGTAGGGGTATGAAGGAAGAGTCCCACATTTATTCAATATGCTTCTTAAAATCTTTTACATGAGCACGCATTCAAGTATTACTTAATAACTGAAAAATTAAAAGGTCACCTCCAAAACCTCAAAACTTTGTAAGGTTAAAATTTTTTTATGGGCCGGCCTGGTGGTGCACTGGAGAGTGCGCTGCTTGGGAGCGCAGCGGCGCTCCCGCCAAGCGTTCCGATCCCATGTGGAGACCAGTTCCCGCTCACTGGCTGAGCGCGGTGCGGGCACAACACCGAGGGTTGCGATCCCGTTGCCGGTCCCCGGTATGGGTGCGACACCGAGGGTTGCGATCCCGTTACCGGTTAGTAAAAAAGGAAAAAAAAAATTTTTTTTAGAGCAAATGTAGTTTTATTAATATTATTTTTTTACTTTCTATGATGTTGTTGCAGAACAGTTGGGAGGGAGGGGGAGAGGGGAAAGGGGAAGGAAATGGGATGGAAGGAGGAGGGGTGGGATTGAGGCCTATGGCACCCCCTTCATTCCCACAGGGGAGACCAGGGGGCTTCCAGTGGTGACTTGGTCATTGCCAGGCTGGGTGCAGATTTCAGGGGGATGTGGCAAAAGCCCTTGGTCCCCCACCACCCTGACTCAGGAGAGCCCAGGGCACTTCCTTTGGTGGCTCGGTGGTCATCACTGGCCTCACTGTACATCAAGGGGTATGGCCGAGGCCCAAGGCCCCACCCTCAGGACTGGTTGTGGGTGTCGGGGGTGTGGCCAAGGTCCCTGGCCCTTCCCCCTTTCTGGCTTGGTAGCACAGGGGACTTCCAGTCCTTCTAGGTGTTATAGGTGTTCTTTGGTGAAATGAGACCTTTACTAGTTAATATGAAACTTTGGGGCCGGCCCCGTGGCACACTCGGGAGAGTGCGGCGCTTGGGAGCACAGTGGCGTGCCTGCCGCGGGTTCGGATCCTATATAGGGATGGCCAGTGTGCTCACTGGCTGAGCGCAGTGCGGGCGACACCAAGCCAAGAGTTGCGATCCCCTTACCGGTCATCTTTTAAAAAAAACAAAAAAACAAGTACCCACAACCAGAGACAAAGTTTCATATATATATATATATATATATATATATATATATATATATATATATATATATATATATATATATATATATATATATATATATATATATATATATATATATATATATATATATATATATATATATATATATATATATATATATATATATGAAACTTTGTCTCTGGTTGTGGGTACTTGTTTTTTTGTTTTTTTTAAAAGATGACCGGTAAGGGGATCTTAACCCTTGACTTGGTGTTGTCAGCACCACACTTTCCCGAGTGAGCCACGGGCCAGCCCATGGCTGAGTCTTTTCATCAAACTGCACCCCATGCAATTCTATATTCCTGAGCAGTCTCCTGTGAGTGGTCCTACACTGATTGTGGGGCAGATCAGCTGTCCTTGCTGTGCCCCAATGTTCCCAGGGTCAGCCTGTCTCCCCCACCACCCATGCTCCAAATACTTCCCATGGGATGGGCTGTGCTCCAGTTCCTTGCAATGAGTCACCAGCCTCTGAGTGGCTCCTTTTTTAAAGTTGTGGCTCCTCAGTCCTATGTGGGTCCACGGGAACCTTATTAGTGGTCTTGCTGGCCTGGGGGCCACCAAGGCCCTCTTCTGCCCTGCTGCTTCCAAGCAGCTTCATCTGAAGGACAGTTGTGGCTTTTGCCAACTCCTGCCCTGTGTGCTCAGCAGCTCCAGCCTGGAAGCAGCTGGGGCTTGAAACAGAATGTTTTTTTCTTTCTTTCATTGTGGCTTCTCCCACCTTCATGCACTCCGTAGGTCTCTCCTTCTCTTCCCCTGAGCTCTTGCAGCCCCAGCTTGGCTGATGTTACATTTTTATAGTTGTAAATTGGTTGATTTGTGGGAGAGAGTGACACTGGAGACCGTCTATTCTGCCATCTTGACCAGAAGTCTCAAAACTCTTTAAATTATAATTTAACAAGTTTTGTGAAGAGTTTCAAATATACACAAAGCTTGAGGATTCCAGACTGTGATCTCTAAATACCATTTCCCTAAAAGGTGCATCCTTGGGAAAATGACTGGTTCCAGGACTGAGGCAAGAAATATACGTGATAAACCTGGAACATCTTATCACACCAGAAAATAAGAAAGTTACTAAAAACTTCTAGAATCATGTCAAAAAGGGGCCAATTTGAATAAAACTTTAATTGCCAAATAAGGAGCAATTTGTACATCATCAAAGATAATAACTGCTATAGTATAAGGCACATAAAATATATTTGAATTTGGCTGGCTGGTTAGCTCAGTCTGTTAGAGCAGTGTTATAACACCAAGGTCAAGAGTTCAGATCCCCTTACCATCCAGTCACGAAAATACACACACACAGACACACACACACACACACACGTTTAAATCCAAGAGTTCATAATTACACTAGCACAAATAAACAGCCCACTGGTCATCTTAGGAAGATGCTTGGAAACCAACTCATTATTTTGCCTTTCTGTACCTCAGAATAACCAAATAATTAATAATAGGAAGTTTTTGTTATAAAGGGATTCAAGTTGATACATGAATGATAGGATTAGATTATTATCATTCTGCAACCCTTATTGAATCAATGGGTCAAGGCAATGATTGTCAATGGCTGCAGTATGACAAAAAGAGACAAAGAAATATTATTTATCTCCTACTGGAAGTACACAATATTTGCCTTCCGATAGCAAGTATTTTTGACAAATAAAGCAATCCTAAATCTGATTGAAGCTCTAGATTTACAGAAATACAGGGTACAGAGAAGCATGTTAAATGATACCACAGGATGCAATCAGCAAAATGCAGACTGTATAAAACACTACAGGATAAACTACTTGGTTTCTTCAAACAAAATGAAGTAAACCAAAAAACTGCAGGGAAAAAAAGAGATACAGGTGGTACGTATAGGTGATATACCCAAAGATATCAAAAAAAGACTTAAGAAATGTTATCATCTAATTTTAATGTATAGTCCCTATTTAGATCCCAATTAAAATAAATAAAAAATAATAATAATGATCATAATAATTTATAAAACAATAGGAAAAACATGAAATCTGACTGGATATTTAATTTGATGCATTAGGGAATTATTGCTAATTTGTCTTAAGGTGATAATGGTATCATGGGTCTCTGTGTTTTAACATTTAATCATTAATCATTAATATTTGGAGATGCATACAGAAATACTTGTAGAGGAAATGAAGCAATGTCTGGATTTTCCTAGAAATAATTGTGAATATGTAAACTACACCTCAATTAAAACAATAACTATGGGATTGTGATATAGGAGTAGAGTGTGGAGGGGAGATGGAGCAAGACTGATGATGCACTGATAATTAACAAGCTGGTCAAATGGTAAATAGGGTTCACTAAACTATTCTACTTCTGTAAATGTTTGAAAACTCCATAATCGAAAAAAAACTCTAGGAGAACAATTAGACTGTATACTTACTGATGTAACCCAAAATGTGGGAAATACTAGATGAATAATTACAAATCCATTTTGATTAAAAAACTGTCATAAGAATTCTTAGTCATTAAGAACAACTCACATAGTTTACCAAAAACACTTTATTATTCCATTTAAGTTATTAGGACAAAAATGATCACAAAGATGATTCAGAGAATAAGGCCCAATTTATTTGGCTAAAAAACATTTTTATATACAATCATTATTACCCAATGTGGGATTTTCATCAAAATGTGGATGATCATTAAGAATTTATTAAACAAATTATTCTGTGTTAAGTTCAATGATAGAGGTATTCCTTAATTTGCTTTTCCCAAATTAAGATGAGCAACTAACTCTGAGATCTTTAGCCCAAGAAGGAGTAGGTGCAGAGTAGCCTGCCTTCTCAGCTGCAGAATGCTTCTGGAAGGGATGCTGGAGAACTTCCTGGAGAAGATGGACCTAGTAAACAATTTAAGTAAATATTAATTTTCTTACTCAGAATCCTTACTAATTTTCTAAATTTCCAAAATGACAAGGTAAATCTTAAACTTGCTTAAAAATGCTTATACATTTTATGTTGTATGAATACCTCAACTACATTTGTTACTTAGAATTTCTATTATGCCACAGAAAGTTCCTTAAATACTTTCATACTAGAAGAAGAGAGTAAAAATGTACAGTGTGATGAAGACTACAAATATATCCTGGTAAGATTCCTTCACAGCATTAAGAAGAGAACTGTAATTTTCTAAAATACTTACAAAAATAAGAGTGTATCAATGATTTGTAATCTTTTCAAATAAAGGGCATGAATTTCAACTCATGTTTCTTCCTCATTTGGAATTTTGGCCCATGGTAATAAACTGAGGCATCAAAGGACACACCTCTTCTAATATCTAAGACCAAAATGTGTATTTTCAGTGGTTTTGTCACTTCCTCAGGTATTACAAAGGAAATGCCTAGTTCTGACAGAAAAAGGTGGATAATTATCTATACTAGGAAAGTGAAGTCAAGAGATCAAATGGAACATATTACTGTAACACTATTATAAATATGAAGACTACATCACCATCAATATGGTGCTCTTAGAGCCCCTCTTGACTTCTCCCCAGGTACTCTCCGTACGTATCCTTTTATTGAAGTTAGTTGTGTAACTATCAATCTCACCTACTAGTTTAAAAGCTCCCTGAACGGATTTTTACACTTCTCCACAGCACCTAGCATAGACTGGATTCTCAAGAAAGGTTTGAGGAAAGAAGGCAAACACCACCCCAGCTGTGTGTATAAAGGGCTGCACGTGCAAATGTTTCACCAAATCCTTTTCCTCTCCTGCATGAGAATTTGACCTTTAGTTAACTCTCTAGATCTGTTCTATAGGTGGTATGTCACCTATATCACCACACAACATTGCCTCTGACTGACAAATAGTTCCTAGACTGGACTGTAAATACCCGATAGGATGCTTTGGGCTTTCCTAAGTCTGGTGCCTCTTGGTATAAGGCAGGTCTCTAGTGGGGACGTTAGAAACTACTCCTTTGGGGGGCCGGCCCGGTGGCGCACTGCTACAGTGCACCGCTTGAGAGCATGGTGGCGCTCCCGCCGAGGGTTCGGATCCCACATACAGACCGGTTCCCGCTCACTGGCTGAGCGAGGTGTGGGAGCAACTCCGAGGGTTGCAATCCCGTTGCCGGTCCCGGTCCGGTGCGGGCGCGACACTGAGGGTTGCGATCCGTTGCCGGACACGGAGAAAGACAAAAAGGAAAAAAAAAAAAAGAAACCACTCCTTTGGAGCTGTTACAAGAGGGACTGGTTTCTGTGGAGCATGGAGCTTCGAAGCAGGGCTGCCCCTGGATCCTCCCAGCAAGGCTCCCAGCTCCTTGCACCTGAGCTGTGCTGCTGAGCCTCACTGCTGCGGAGGACTGCTGCAAGGACTCCTGCAGACGAGGAACCTCATGTGGCCCTGTGGGTAAGCTATGTTCCTGTCCTACGTCTCCCTCAGTTGACTGGGGCCAAGTGTGGCCTGTGATAGTCATATGAATCTGAATGTTCACTTGAACCTAAGAAAACACCTCCTCCTACCCCACCCAGTGAGCACTGCATCATTACTCAAATACAATTTTGAGGAAGAGAAGAAATCAGGGATGGAACAAAAGATAAGGAAGGAAGGAGAAACAGGCCAACAAAACAACTTATTAAACGCTGGTTAGTTTCCCCAGCTTGGACAAATTTATCAATGATAAATGCTGTTATTTCCCTTCCCTTTGTGTTTCCTTAATACCATAAAAAGATTACATTTAAAAATAGTCTGTTTTCTGAAATGAAAACCTAGAATTGTCAGAGTAATTAAACTACTGAAATAAAAAGTAAATCCAAGTTCCAAATTAGAAATAGCAAATACAGCTTCCTCTCGTGTCAACTCTGCCCGGTTAGCAGTGACTACGCGGTATGCTGTGTGAGAATGAGGCTGAGGCCGTGACCAGTTTTAGAGAAGAGGCCACGATCGTCAAGGATGTCTGCTCCAGGTGTAGCACAGGAGAGTGGCAGCACAAGTGCCAGAGTCATGCCTGTTCTGAAAAATACTTTATGTGCGATGCATTTTTAAACAATCATGAAATATTTGAGGCAGACAAGGTATGCAGAATAATATAATAAACACCTGTGTATCCTCCATCCAACTTCAGAAAGAAAATACTTCCAATATGGTTAAGACCATATTTCATGATATTGATATAATTTTCCATGTTTTTATTTATTTATTTTGGCAGCTGGCTGGTATAGGGATCTGAACCCTTGACCTTGGTATTGTTAGCACCATGTTCTACTAAGTGAACTAACCAGCCAGCCCCTCATGGTTTTAAACTATATTTAAGTGGTAACACACTTGTATAAATTCCTTCGCTGCTTGCTTGTTTGGCTTAACATTAAATGTGAGATTTAAAAAAAAAAAAAGTGAGATGCATCCGTGCTGATGCAGGCAGCTCCAGGTTAGTCATTTTCATTGCTGTCTAGATTCAAGTGGACCCAGGTTGCTAGAGGCATGGACACCTTGTAGAAGCAAATGCTAATTCCCTCTGGAGAGATATACCCTCAAATCACTCTTCATGGGATTTCAAACAGAGACTGAATTCCAAAATGCCAAAACACAAACAATAAACAGCAGACTCAGAGCCTCAGAAATGCAAATAATATGTGTGTATGTGTGTGTGTGTATATATATATATATGTGTGTGTACTTTCACATATATACACACACACAAGGGTACTTCAAGAAGTTCACAGAAAGATTCTTATTACCTTTTGATTCCATTTTTCCATGAACTTTTTAAAGTAACCTCATATGTATACATATGTTATAAAATGAACATTTAAAACTTAAATAAATTAAAGAATAAATAGAAAATATGAGAAAATTATTCTCTGATAAACAAGAGACACCAGGCAGAGAGAAATCTGGGAAGTTGGTGTTGGCAATGCTATATATAGTTTAGCACGTACATAAACAAAATAAGTGTATTTAAAATATGACACATTTTAAATTAATAAAAATAAACCCCGAAAAGTCAACCATCTTACCTCTGAAAAATCATTCCTTTCTGCTTTCTGCACTGCAGATTCTGCCATCCAGTTCTTCAGCACATACCTAGGGTTGACAGCTTAAACAAGAGGGAAAAGCACATCTTGGGAACAATAAATTACTAAATTGACACAGGCCATATGAAATCACCACTGAAATTAGATAATCTTTAAGAACTTTGCTGGAAGGCTCAAAAGAGAAGATATTATTGATATCAGTCCATTTTAATTGCATATAAACAATGTACAGTATTTATTATCTTATGGTACAGAAAAAAACATTTTGAGCATTATGACCAACACTATATTTTGCTTTTCTTTTCACTTTCACCATTCATTTGGCTCTTTCACCATTTTGGGTATACTTAGCATTTATAAAGCATGGAGAAAGTAGATAATTCATCTGAATTAGGCCCTGTGGCCAAAGTGAAGGGGGATAAAAACCAGTTGCTGCTTTTAACATCTTCAAGCACAAACTTACAGTTTAATGCTGATGCTGCTCAAGAGCAAACAGGAAAGGCCATGTGTAAGCAAAACCCTTATAAATTTGTATTTCTGATAGTAATCATGCTTTTATTTCATATTGAAAAGTAGTATAATAATGGCACATTTACAAAAATTCCAGAAACTATGTCTTTATTTGAGATGAGCCTTTTCTAAAATAATTTATCAACTGGGTAGGGTATGTTCTCCCTGTTGGCACAAGAGAAATTCCGAAAGGACTGCAGAAATCAGTTATGTGATTTTCAACAGCAGTTTCCACGTTACCTGAATGGAGGGAACATAATATTCCATTTCAACTTGGTTTTAAAGATCTACCAATATAATAGATAATCTAAAAAGGTAAGCGCCCTGTGATCCAATAATTCTACTTCTCTAGGAATATAGTTTAAGAAAAAAAAATTAAACATAAAAAAGCATTATTTTAAAGGAAAAACTAGAAACAACATCAATATTTAATAATAGGGAAATGGTTGAGTAAAATATTACATATGCTTTCAAAGAAATATTATGCAGCCAAAAAAAGAAATAATACCAGAAGGAAACTGAAGATTCAGAGTTCACTAAACTGTACACTCTTTGATGTTTATTTCTTCATGCCTGTATAATTCTTTAATTCCACATCCCTGGTACACATTGTTACATAAGTTTGTGCAACCAATTTTTTATACATTTCCATCTGCAGATCAATTAAACACATAATATATAGAAGTTTACCTTTAAAAAAAATAAATGAACTGTCATTATGAACTCTTACTATACTTCTTTGTGATATTTTGTTCCCTTCCTTGAGAGCACATTGTTTAGCATTTATTACTTTTCTAAAATAACAAAACAAAATAGCAAAGCTGTAGCCTTGAGCTCACTGAATTTCTTTCATTTTTCTATTTCATCCATCTGTCATAACCAAACAAATCCAAATACTAAAGACTGCCACCACATTTTCTTCTTTCTCTCAACTGCTGAGTCGTTCATATTCTGAGCTGGCCTATAATTCTGTATAATTGCCCAAATGGACATGGTGGCTGGCAACTACATCTATGCTGAATCCTAAACAGATTACTCACTTCACTATAAAAATTAAACTTGCTTTTATTTCTACAGTAATATCCTGAGTTCAAGAAGCAATCTCACTCGCTAACATAATGTGGAATGTAGTGTCATCCCTATTTCATAAACATGAATCAGCCACCCTGATGATACATACTAGCTCTCTATACAAGTCCCAACGTGGGAGTACTCGGAGACTTAGGGCCTTCTGTCTTAACTTCTTTGATCTTGCGAGAACCCCCACTGCAAAAAGAACTTCCATTTTTTTCATTCTCCTAGCCAAGTGTGAAGTCACATGGCAAACTGAAAATCAACACATAAAAGTAATTTATTTTTATGGCTATCATTTATTGGTTATGTATTATGGCCCAGACACTCTAACAAGATTATTAACAAGACATTCTAACATATTATTGCTTATCATTATTACATCTCTGAAAAATATCCCCATTTTACTACACTAAGGGCCCTGAGACTTGGAGAGTTAAATATCTCTCAGACCATAACAGCTAAAAAGTGGCAGAGATTCATCTGTCAGATTCCCAAGCCCATGATCTTTCCACCATATTCTGAACCATCTTCCTTGTCTCTCCACCATCCTTTAAGACAATATTATTTTAAAATTAGTATGAAACTTATCAAAAGCAGAGGTATCATACTCTAAGTTAAAAGCCATCTGCTAAAATATGACACTTCAATTCAACTAAAATATAATCACCTTGATTTATTCCAGTTAAAAACAAAACAACTCAGTCCCCTTAAGTAATTGCTTTTGGTTTTCAAAAATCTTGCTTCTGTGTGATAATCCTTAAAAGGTGAGAAAATCAGAAAGATTACTTACATGTCATTCTTCTTCTTCTTTCAGAATCTGAGTCATTCATGTTACTAAAAATGAATAAAACAAAGGACAAAATTAACCACTATCTCCCCAAATTACATCTCTTTTTCCAAACAGGAGAGAATCATTTCACAAGACAAATAGAAAAAAACATTCAAAATTACATTGAATCAGTGTTTGAAAGGAAAATAGAAAATACAAAGTTTGATTATACAATATATAAAATACCACCTTGTTTAGTTATTTTAGGCAATAGCAAACCTTTTTTAATTTTAACCAATTAAAAAAAGTCTTTTTGTCAAAAAAAAATCTAAACTGTCATACCGTTTCTTGTCTTAAACATAGTTTTCTGAAAATAACTTTTTCTTGATTACTCGGGGTCCCCTTTATAAACAGCCCCCAGTGGCCTCTGAGCTGTGAAGGGCTGGGCTACTTGCTCCTGTGCCTCCTGTGGTTTTCCTATTTCTTCCTTCTTCCGTCAGCTGCCACTACCTACAACTTCTTTACCCTTTCCTCTTGGTTGCTCTAATTCAGTGAGTTATGTAACAAAGAAACTTCTTAAAATTGTGTAAGATGTGACAACAAATAGACAGTGGACAAAAGCCTAACGAGCTGTCCTCCAGAGCTCCAGGGCTTGGGCTCTGGAAACCTGGGGAGCTCTGTCATCAGATAGTCGAGGTGAACAGATGGGTGCTTTCTGCCCGGGTAAGGTGTTACCATAGATGCCTCACCAGGGCATAGTACCCAGGACTAAAAATGGAAAGGAAGAGAGGGACCTGATAGGTTGGCAATGATAAAATAATACATCACGTGCTTTTTTAGAAGTGATGAGATGACTTTACCTCTTCAATCTCAAAAGGTACTGGGACACCCAGGCAGGAAAGAGTTTGTGCTTTGAAACTGTCTTCAGTGCCCAGAATTGCTAAATAAAAATACAATAATATATTGCTTATTATGTTAATAATTTTTCAAGTTAACTTCATATTCCTTTAAAATTGTTTAGGTTCTTTAATAATAACTTACCCAGATTTTTATAAAGAATGTTATTTCAAGTAGAAGTAGCACAAAAAGAAATATTTTCCTTTTCTTTATATATCATTAAACTCTAAAATTCTAATTTATGGAAATCCACATTTAATAATTTAAGAGAATACAAAGTTCTTATAAACAGATTACCTGATGAATACTTATATTATCAAAAGGCTTCTTTAATATAGGGAACTCCTTCAATGTGTAGTTTATTTTAAAATAACTTAATTTGCAACTGCATTTTATTTAGTTATCCGTTAATTCATTTAACAAATAGTTATAAAATGACGACAATGTGCTGGGAACTATGTTTAGGTGGGAAGAACACAAAAATTAAGAAGACATAGTACCTGACTTTAAGAAGGGAACTGTGTAAACAAATAATTCAGGGCCATGTTAGAAGTGTTGTAGAAATGTACATAAAAGGCTAAGGGAACAAAGGAATAAACAATCAGCTCTACCTAGGAAGTTAGGGAGTTGCAAAGTATTATGAAATTAACTACAGAAATGATTAAAAGTATAATGATCTCTTCTCACTTAAATTTTCCCAGTTCTTGGTAATTTAAATGTTTATACCTGTCACGAACTTGAACAAGTCAATTTAACATTACTTTGTCTCAGTTTTGCACACATTAAATGACAATTAGTGGTTACCACTAATTAAATGATAATTAGCTATGACAGAAGAATCACTACATTTCAAAAATTACATCAAAGATACTTATTGGTTAACATTTTTCTGTATTTCTGTATTTCCTACTCAATAGGCAGACGTTCTTTTTTTCAAATCACTCCTAAAAATGCAATTTATGGCTATTTTATATCTGCAAGAACAATAATTTTCCTTATAATTAGCATGATCCACACCTACCTTAGAAATAACAATTGTTATGCTTCTTTTTCATTTATTTGGCAGCTGGCCAGTAAGGACATGTGAACCCTTGACCTTGGTGTTATCAGCACCATGCTCTAACCAAGTGAGCTAACCAGCCAGCCCTATGCTTCTTTTTCAAACACTAATTTAACTCCCATTTCCTACACTTGCAATAACCATTTCTGTTTGAAAGTAGTTGTAAAGTAAGTGATAAGAGGCTGACCCCTCTTGCTAATACAGTTTCCATCATGGCACTCCTTCCTTCAAATCCTACATGGACCCTATGCTTGAGAGGACCGAAATTAAGAGAACTACCACTGCTTATCTTCCTTAGGTATTGTTACTGCTGATAGCTAACAACTACTGAGTACCCATGAGGTTGATGTTATTATAACTGCCCCTATTGTACAGATGAGGCAAGAGAGGACTAGAGAAACTGAGTGACTTACTTGTGCAAGCTCGAATAGTCTACTAAAGGGAACCTCAAATCTGAAGCTACCTCACTTTTTCTTGAAATGACTGAAAAAACCACCTTTTCTTGCCTCAGCTTCACTATGCATGAAAACAAGGACTGATTTTTAGCACAATAATGGGGCTTTAAATATCAAAGAACCACGACAGAATTAACAAAGTAAAAATGGGCAGACCTGGCATAATGAAAAGGATACTGGACAGCAAAAAATTTTGGTTCTGGTTCTGACTTTATAATAACCTCCTATGTGAATTTGATAAGTCATTTAACCTCTCTTGGCCTTGGTCTCCATATTGCAAAATGAATTGCTCTTTAAGGTCCATTCCCAACGTAAAATTTTGTGATTCTATACCTGAGACTACTTTCTAACAAATGGATCAACAGTTGTCAGAGAACTAAACCTGCAAAAATATCACAATATTTTCCTCTCAAGCATTTGTTTTTACCTTTTTTTTAAATAAATTTTTCCCTCTTAAAAAGAAATATATTGCTGATAAAAATACAAAACATCAAAGGCTATGGAAGTTTGGCAAGATCTAGCGAAACTGCAAATGCATAGCATACCCTTTAACCCAGAAATCCATTCTGGGGAATTCTCTGTATCTGTACCAAATGGAATAACCTATGTATACTATAATAGCAAAAGCTTGGAAACAAACCAAGTCCCATTGTAGGGCACTGGTTAAATAAATATGGTACTCTACAAATGGGATGTTTTGAAGCTGTAAAAATAATGAGGATTCTTTCTAGGTACTAATATGGAAAGATCTTCAGGACATACTATTAAGCAAGGTGCAGTCATTATATAAAATATACTCTCTTTTATGTAAAAAATTATGCATATATATACATATATCGATCAATATCTGCTTGATCATCAACAACATGGATGAACCTAAAAAATGTGTTAAGTGAAGAAGCCAAATGCAAAAGACCATGTATGTATAATTCCATTTATATCAAATACCTAAAAAGGAAAACCTTTAGAGACAGAAAAGTAGATTAGCAATTGCTTGGGGCTGGAAGTCGAAACAGGGGTTGACTGCAGTGGGCACAAGGGATCTTTTTAGAGCGATGAAATTGTTCTAAAATTGAATTATGATAACTGCACAAATATGTTAATTGTTAATAATCATTGAATTGTATACTTAGAATGAGTGAAATATCATGGTACATAAATTATCCATTGATAAACCTGTTAAAGAAAACTGAACTAAGAAAAAAGTCAAATGTCACAAATTAATACCTGAGGAATGTTGAGCTCCAGTAACTGGCTTTGAGTAATCTCACTGAGCTCCCGAAACGTCATTGTAAAATCAGCTTCTGTCATTTCCATGAGCTAATGAAAATAATTTTATTTATCAATCTCAATTCTTCAAAAATATGCTGAAAAGTTAGTAATTCAAATGTTGATCAGAAAAAAAAGTACAATGATAAACTCACATGTAAGAGAAATGCAATTAAGTTATCATCCTCCTCCCTTTCTCCAAGTAATCCCAATTTGGCTTTGAACAATTTGCTAAATCTAAAAGGAAAAACATCAATTCAATTTGTTTTTAAAATTCTCACCATTATAAGAATTTCAAACCAACCAGGATGCTTTAATATCTGTATTCAAAATTGGCAAACCTTGTATAATAAAGAACAGGGTACCCCTCAAGAATCTGAACAGCACTGTGGGAAGGAAAGGAAGGACAGTTAAACAATGATACAAAATTAACATTCTTGAATTACATTTTACACGAAGGAAAGTGAACCTTCTCATATATTAAGTAACATGGAAAGTACATGCTAATGATTCTGGTTTCGTGGTTTAATTATATATAATATCTTACAGAAAATCCTCAATATAAATTTGTCTCAAAGATTTGGATACAGTACTGGTCAAATCATGTCACCTCTGCAGCACAACTATAAACAATTAGCTTACAAGTTAAATATTGATATGTCTCTATAATACCAAGAGAGTTATATAAATGGGGTTTTTGGTGCATTTTAAAAATCATCTTAGATCCAAGATAATGCATTACAAATATCTCACCCATATGATAACATTTTATTTTTCTGAAAGTATGAAAATATAATGAAACATTTCAGAAAAATTAAAGAGTACTAATAACCTTAATCCCATCTCTAAACAAATTCAGTGTCTATCTCTTAACATTCTTAAATGTATTTTAAGTTATACAAAACTTAACACCATCTGACGCCTCACTCCCTTTACCTTTCTGACCTCAGCTCCTCTGAGACTGCCCTTTGCTTATTCTGCTGCAGCTGCACTGGCTAATCCTTAAACACACCACACACACTCCCACCTCAGGCCTTTGCACAGGCCATTCCCTTCTCAGTGGTGCTCCTCCCCAGTTATCTGCATGGCTTGCTCCTGCAACTCTTTAAAGACTTTGCTCTGGGGCCAGCCCATGGCTCACTCGGGAGAGTGTGGTGCTGATAACACCAAGGCCAGGGTTCGGATCCCTATATAGGGATGGCTGGTTGGCTCACTTGGGAGAGCGTGGTGCTCACAACACCAAATCAAGGGTTAAGATCCCCTTACCAGTCATAATTTAAAAAAAAAAAAGACTTTGCTCAAATGAGGTCTTTGCTTACCACTCGCTTAAAACTCCAAACCCCTCCCTCCCCACCCTCTGCCTATTTTCCTCCACAGTATTGATCTCCTAATACACTGTATAACTTATTTGTTTTGTTTATTGACTGTCTCTCCCACCAGACTTAAGCAACATGAGGGCATCATGTTTGTTTGTTTGTTTTTCTGTTTCAATCATTGCTGTCCCCTTAGGAATTAGAATGGTGTCTAGCACATGTTGAGCACTGAAGTATTCAATAAATATTTGTTGAAGGAATAAACTCTGCATGGCAAAACAGCTATAAAATTGATGGAGACAAGGATGGGAACAAGATAGCTTAATAAATATAATTTTATATGCTTTGATTTTGAACTATGTGACTGTATTACTAATATAGTTTAAATTAGATTAATTAAGGAAATCATAGATGGCATGTACTTTTTTTTTTTTTTTTTTTACCAAGCCTGGATGACCTGAACATGTAAAACTTTTATCGTTATTGTAATAATACTTTTGCTACCTGCAGTTAATAAAATCACTATATGCCTTGATGTCTTTCTCAGATCTTGTTGTAGTGGAAACAGGGTAAATTTTAGACTTTTTTGGGCACGAGAGGGTGAATGGGAAGAAAAGTATATTTTATCTCCAACAAATACACTGGAGACACAGAAATTATTAAATTTGGTCACTGCCCCCAGGGAACTCAATGTTCAGTGGTTGGGTCAACAAATATCGTGACATTCTCTACAATTATTAATGTGCTCATATTATCATCCATGCATATTCATATGCATACATTTCAATTTGAGTAATTATAAACTTGCAATTTTTTCTATTTATTATTTGCTCTGTTGTTTAAAACCATGTTTCCTTTTCTCTTCAGCCTAAATTCAGAATGAAAGACCACACGGTTGATAGACAGAGATTGAAATTTCAGCTTTACTACTGAAAAAGCCTGCCTGGAGAATATGGCTTAGGTCTGCAGATTAACAGGCATGACGATATCCTGTACACACAACTGAGTCCACACACTAACTAACACCCTGATATCAATCATCTGTCAGAGTAAAATTAAAACACAAATGTTTATGCAAGGATTCAGAAATGGATCACCTACATAACCCCATATGAGTGAAATACCTAGGGATTTTAAGATGGAACCATGAAAAAAGAATGGTAGGAAGAAGGAAATGATGAGAAGAGGGGGATATGGGGGGAGTGCTGCAGGCACAGACGCTTAAAGAGATATACTTCCAGGGAAAACCTAAGAATCTCAAATTCAGAATATTAAAATATCTTAGCAAAACCTAGCAGGTCGGTAACTAGAGGTAAAACATAAAAGCATTCTTAAGATCTCATCTTATTAGGATGGAGGGAAAGGCAATGGGCAAATAGAATCTTATTGAGGAAAAGTATTTGGAAACCCATTTTCATATAACAGTAGAGAAAGTGGCAGAAAAAAAGAAGGTGACCACCAGCAGAATAAAAAAAAAATAACAATAATTTTTTTCAGCAGAGTTTACAAATCAACAGGGGGAGAAAAGGAATGAATAGCTCAAATCTTAAAAAGATAAGGAAAGGGGCTGGGGGTTATGGGGGGACCAACAGTAAAATAAAGAAGCACAATGTAAGACAGAAGAAATAAAATAAAATATATCAATTATGATAAATGTGAACAGGCTACATACTTCTATCAGGACAGAAACCATTACATTCAAGTAACATCTGGCTATATGTTTTGTTAGTTTTCACAAGAAACACCATTTAAAACAAAGTGATAAAGTGAAAAACAAAGTGAGTGGTCCACCTTGGCAAACCCAACAAAAAGAAAGCATGAGTGGCAATATTAACATCAGATGAGCTGAACTCGATAGTTAAAAGTACTAATCACACCAGCCAGCTGCCAGAGGAAAAAGTACTGATCAGAATAAAGAGGGTCACTGTCAGGATAAAAGGTACATCTTCTTAAAGAAAATATAAGTAAACAACCTGTATGTACCAATAATATGATATTAAAATATGTAAATTTCAAACAATTGGAAAATATAATTTGATAAAAATATAATTAAAGTAGTAGCTTTTACTAAGCATCTCTTCAGAATCAAATTTACCTAATAGATTAAAAACAGGGTCATAAAGGACTTGAATAATACACTTAATACACTCAATTTTATATACTGTATTAAAACTTTTGATTATAGAATATAAATTTTTATGTACGATCATCAAAAATGTCCAAAAATATTTTACGCTCAGCCACAAAGAAACCTGAACACATTTTGAATAGTAGAGATTTTACTAAACACACTCTTTGATCCTAAAAATATGAACAAAATAATTCCAACTACTTAGAAATTAAGAAACACAGTGATAAATAACCTTTGGATCAAACAGGAAATAAAGAGATTTCACAACATCTAAAAAGCGTTTAAGAAAAACTTTATCCTAATAACTATGGAAAAAAGCCCAAACTGGACTAGAGAAATATATAGTTTGAAATGCCCTCATTAGTAAAGATTAAATAATAAGATAGCTTTTAAAATGTCCATCTCTTGCTAACAACAATGTTATGCAAATATATTTCACACAGATTTAATTAGTAGATTTAAGATTTACTCACAGCTGCTTTTGCCTAGAATCCAGTAATGGGTTTAGAGCTTGTAACAACTTGTTTAAATTAAACATCCCAATATTGGCCTGATTTCCTATTTTATATCTTCTTTCATCATCAGATATATTTGGTACAAAATCTGTTTAAAACAAAATACTATAGCTTTACAGTGGAGATAATTAATAATAAGTAGCTTTATTATTAAGTATATATTTAAATTTAATAAATTTACATGTATTAGATAAAAATCTTTCTGACATTAAATATTTAACTCAAAAGTAATATAAACACTTAATACCCATATACACGAAAAGCTTTTAAAATAGGAACATTTGCCTACTAGAGGAATACATTTCTAATCCACAAGAGTTTCTAATTTATCACACATGCTTCAGACTCCAACTCAGGCAGCATGTCCTCCACAAACCTTCTCTGATCCCTTCAGTGGTAAGCATTGTATTATTATTACTTCCATTTTATAAATTAGTGGCGTGAGAGGTTAAAGTGACTTTTCCAAAGGCACAGAGCCATTAAGGGTCAGATGCCAGAACTCAAACCCACGTCTGTCTGACAGCATATTCCCGGATATACTTCCTGCCATCCTCTCTCACGTGTAATTTCTGAGAGCAAACACCATGCAGGATTCGTTGTTGTATCACTTATGGCACCAGCAAGATCTACTAACCACATAAAAATGACCATTTCATAAATGAACCCAATTGTTTCTACTACCCCATTACTATATTATCTATAAGAGTTTATCTAAAATAAACCTGTGGTAATTTTTTAGTGAAACAGGGTGTGTCTGTACATAAATCACACATATATAAATCATACATACCTGGATTATAGGCCTCCATAAAACCAAATGGACCATAGTCAATTGTAATGGATAACAAACTGAAGTTATCAGTATTACAAACACCTAAAGTAACAACAAAAAATTCCAAAAACATGATAATAATCAAATATTTGAATTTTAACTCTATTAAATTATCCATAATACAAAAGGTCATGGAAATGCCATTTGTTTTAGAGATGAAATAAAATTTGATTACCAGTTGAAAGTTTAATTAGTGATATCAAATAGCTTAATATATGTTAAAATTATATTTTAAAATTAAATTTAGCCTTTTGTTTTATAATCTCCCACCAAAGATTTCAAATACTACAGGAACAAAATCCCCCAAAATTGAACTTCCTCTTTTTTTTATCCTCAATTTCTAGCATTTATTAAAACACATACATTATTTACAATGGAGTTGAGGCTAGTAAAGGAATAAGATTCATTAATTTTCAAAGATTGTGAATAGGGGAAAAGATAAAAATATGGACATACACCCCTTGACAGTCATTAGCTGCAGAACACTAACAGCGTTGGGGAGCCCTGCTTTTTTTTTTTTTGGCTGGAGACATCTGTATATCATAGAAGAAAAGTCTAGAGGAACTGATATGAAATGGTTAACAGGGATTACCTTGGAGAATGGAACTCCCACTCACTTCTGTATATTTTAAATTATTTGCTGTAAGTACTTTTATTTTTTTTTTCATGACTGTGGCTTTATTTATAACATTCCCATATTCATTATTCATAATTATTACTGTGCTTACTAGCAGAGCAATTTTCCCCTGACTTGCTCATAAATTCAAACAGTTTTGTTCAGCATAAAGGTAAGCTGAACACAGTTACACTGCATTATGTAACCTTCTCATTAGCAATGTAGTACTTCTATAATTAAAAATTTTAAAACAGCTTTAGAAAGATCTAAACACAATACGAGGGGTCCTCAACAAGTTCACGGAAGGATTTGTATTACCTTTTACTGCAATTTTTCTACAAACTCTTTGAATTACTCTCATATATAATCATGCATGTAATCCTAAGGTTAAAAAGCTTTACAGGTTATCATCCTATTTTCGATTACTATTCCATTCAAAGCCACTTTCTTTTTCTTTATTTCTTTTCTTTTCTTTTTTTTTTTTATCTTTTTTTGGCAGCTGGCTGGTACAGGGATCTCAAAGCCATTTTGAATATATTTTAAAAATTTTTCTGTTGCTAAAAACGAATTTGTATATTAAAATGTTAAGAAGCTCACTAGTAGGAATATTTTTAAATACTGAAAAAAAAGTCTTCTGCTTCAACAAATTAATTCTACTTTCTCATCAGAAGAATGAAATACCAGTAGATAACTTACCATGAGCAAAACCAACAGACATCCACAAGGCAATCAGTTGTGCTGTCTCAGATACCACAATAGAAAAAAAATCCTAAAATAAAATTTAGAAAATTTTCAGGTTTTCAGTAATGTATACTCTTCCAGGATCCTCTGATAAGTCACAAGGAGACTACGGGAAGAATTCAAAGGTGCATCGAAAGATGACTTAAAGAAAAGGAAATAAGTACATGTAAGAAAAATAGAAGAAAATAAAATTATTCATCCAGAAATAATATATAAAAGGCTTAGACAAAGTATGATCAAGCTCCTCCATGTCCAATGAGAAAAGTAAAAGCAACAGAATTCAGCACAAGGGAGTTAAATTTAAGCAATGTGAGTTATTAAACTTCAAAATGTGTCACCAAAAAAAATGAAATTCCCTTCTCTATGACTGTTTAAAGAATGAAAAAGGGTTATGAAGATGACAAGATTTCCACAAGAACAGAAAATCACATTTTCCTATTATGTATCATGGTTATTTCAGAACTGCTACTATAGAAATATCCATATACCTAATGTGTGAGCAAAGAATATACGTGACCAAGTTATAAATGCTGCTTGAAAAATAGCACATAACAGTTAGGATGTGAGAACACCTGTTCTTTTTTTTAGGCATCTTTCAAATAAAACAACTGTCTTGTCTATGTCTTGTTTATAGAGTGGTTCATCTTATCTTCGCCTAACAAAATGTTCAAAGCGCTCCACACTTCGTTTCCTGACTCTCATTTTTTAAGTTTGCAGCTGTAATCTCTAATGTTGGCAGGCCAATGAGAGAAAACAGAGTATTGCCTTTTCTTTTTAAAAACTTACCATGTATCTATTAGGTTCTTTGACATCTACAGAGGGAAAATGCTCCTGTATGATGAAGTCTAATAATGTCCTGGAGATAAAAAGGAGATAGAATCAGTGTTCTCTAGTACATAGTCCCGAATATCCAAGCACCTATGTCCACCATTGACATTTACGAAGTCCTTAGATCAGACGTAACATTTAAAACTTTAAGATTTTACTCCTGAAACAGCCAAAGAAAAATATTTCCTCAATACCAATCGAAAAAAGAAATATGTTTCTAAGATCATATTAGATTACACCTAATTATGTTATAAATTCAGATTAATTCCATAAACATCCATTAAGTGCCTCTTGCACCTACTGTATGCCAAGCTCTGAGCAAGTGCTAGGAAAAAGAATGACAAGACCCAGACCTAGACCTCAAAAAGCACACAGTCTACTAGGGAAGAAGAACATATAAAGAAATCATTGCATCACAGTATCATATGTGCAATAACAGAAATACAGAAAGTGTATAGCACTAACAGAGCAGGGAATGATTATTTATGTGTGGAGGGTCATTTACAAATGAGGTCACTGGGCCACTGGCTCACTTGGGAGAGCGTGGTACTGACAACACCAAGTCAAGGGTTAAGATCCCCTTACTAGTCATCTTTAGAAATAAATAAATAAATAAATAAATAAATAAAAATGAGGTCACAAAAAATTGGCAAATGTCTGAAGTTAAAATATTTAAAGTGCATATGTACTATATTTCTTATTACCTATTTTAACCAAGTATTCTACTTAACTGACTAACCACTAGTGTTGATTGCATTAGATAAGAGGAAATCTGGAAGAAGATTTGGGTTGTAGATATGATTTGGAAACTACTAAAACCCAGTCAAAACAATAGGAGTAAATTAGAGCTTGTCTAATATCTATTTATGTCTCATATGTACATATGAGAGTAATGTCATGTGAGCCAGTGGAGGCATTTCAAGGATGAAGTGATGGACAATATGTCAGAAGGATAAGTGAAATGCAACCGAAATATGAGCACTAGATGGAATGGTTGCAGTGGCATGGTGAATCCAAGCAGAAGTGACCCAAAAAGCAAATGGGTGGTTAGAAATAATGTCCAGGGAGAGCAGACAACCAGGACGACCATGACCCCAGCCAGGATGACCACGAGCTCAGCAAACATTTGCTAAAGTAAGAGACTCAGAGAACAGTAGTGACAAATGTGAGGACTTCTCTGCTTATTCATCTCCTTCCTTCTTTTCTTCTCCCCTTATTCTTCGTGGACCAAATCTGGATTTACTATGCTGATAACTACAACATAGAATCCATACTCCATATGTTTATAGTTTGTCCAAGAGAATTTTTCTTATATATTTCTAATGACTTTTAAAGACTGTATTATCTTAACAAATGGAAACAGAATTCCTCTTAAAAAAGGAAACGTTTTTATTAGAACAAACGTCTTGCTAAGTCTGCTTGGGGAAGGCAGAATTCTGGGAGCACAGATGTCAGCAGGCACCAGGACATCAGAGAACGATGGAAACAGTACCACAAGACCCGAGGGGAAGACTTCACTGCTTTTACTCTTTTGAAGCAACCCTCCTCTGTCTTCCCCATAGGAGTCTTCAGTAAGACGCACTGTGGTTAAAGGCTTTGTGTAAATTTGCTCTGTTTGTTTGTTTTTGTCCTGTGGAAGGGGCTAAGTTTCACCTCTGGGTCAGCTCAGTGTGAAACAGGCATCGTCACACACGTCAAAGCTGAAGTCCTAGGAAAGAAGAGACACGAGACAGAGGACACACTTGGGGAATCCTTGAAATTGGGAAGAAAGCTTCAGGAACCCTTCAGGCTGCAGAACTGGGGAGTCTGAATCCCTTGCCCCTGAATCTCTGAGTGTGAATGAAAGCCCTCAGCTGTAACCAGGTTGCATACTACATAATAAATTCCTTGAGAACAGGGTCTACTGGGTCTTACACCCCTTTTTTTAACCTTCTAAAAAACGCACCTGGTATTAGGCACATGGCACGTCTTAAAAATACTTATTAATTTAAATTCTTAGTTTTACTTAGAAGAACACAAAATATTTAACTCCATAGCACATAGGATTTTTCCAATTGTTTTGTACCATTTTTTTAAAGTAATTTTTTAAACGGCTTTAAAAAGAAGGAAATCCTGTCATTTGCAAGAACATGAATGGACCTGGAGGACATTAAGCTAAGTGAAATAAGCCAGACACAGAAGGACAAATGCAACATGATCTCACTTATTTGCAGAATCTAAAAAAAGTTAAACTCAAAGAAATAGAGAGTAGAATGGTGGTTACCAGGGGTCTGAGGGTTATGGAAATGGGGAGATGTAGGTCAAACAGTACAAAGTTTCAGTCACAAGATGAATAAGCTCTAGAGACCTAATGCACAGACTATAGTTAATAATAATGTATTGTACACTTGAAATTTGCTAAGAGAGTAGATCTTAAGTATTCTCACTAAAAAAAAAGGTAGCTATGTGAGGATATGGATATGCTAATTACCTTGATTGTGATGATCATTTCACAATGTATACATATATCAAAATATCACATTGTATACCTTAAATATATACAATTTTTATGTCAATTATATCCCAATAAAGCTGAGATACATACTCACTTTCATAGCTAAAAAAAAAAAGTAATTTTCTAACCTCAGTAAATCCAGTTCACCATAATGAGCCAAAATCTCTAATGATCCAATTCTAAACCATGATTTTGCAGCACGCAGCACTACTGCACCTGAAAAAGAAATTTTATTTTAGCATAAAACTATTTTAGCTATGTGAATATAGCAAAATGTATTTCTTTAAAATAAAATGATTTTCATAAAAAAGAAAGTAGTCACAGATGATGAGAAAAACAACTAATTTACACCCTATAAAAGATCAAAGGTTTTTCTCTATTGCCTTCAAGCCTGAATCAGTATGTTAGGAACCACAAGACTTTTAGAAACAGCAAGACTCCAATTCAGCTAAACGGTGAGAGGTATGTTCGGCTCCAAATTTCAGATACTCCACTGTCTCATCAATTGTGAACCTTCCCTGTACCTCACCCTGAAATAGGGAATTAAGAATTATTTTATTTTGCATAGGCCCTTGTAACTGCCTTCCATTCCTGTAACCCATCAAAAACTAACTCCAATAAATAAATGTTTGCATATGTTATAAACTATGAATATATACTGAAGAAATCAAATGAATCCATGCATTTTGTGTTTGTAACCTTCTATTGCCTTCTGCTTTGATTATAGACATCAGTAATACAATTAATAAGTAGATTTCATGGTTCTTATAAGGAATGCTGCACTTACATGTGTTTAGAAGGCAAGATGAAAGTCTACAGCAGGGTGACAAGAGTTCCTGCTCTGCTGTCCTTCAACAGACAACCACTCTCATCATGACTGCTACCTCTGGACCTTTGTTTGTGCTGTTCTTCCCTCTTCCACATATCCTCCTCTTCTCCCATCACTGAAATTCTACCTAACCTTATGCTCAAGATCAACTGCCACTTCCTCCATAAAGCCAAACTGATCTCCCTTTTACTTACCTCTGATTTTTTATTGTTCTTTTGTTCCATGTGTTTAAATCTTTTTACTACAAAGACTGTGAGTTTCTTAAGACCAGGGACTATGACATACTTATTACTCCTTGGCCCCCAAGAGTTTAGTGCAATGGTAGGCACAGAAAAGGGCCAATTAATAATTTCTGGTTTGACTGAATTACCCATACAGTCAGGACTTATTCACCATACTAATCTAGATATCTATTTTCATCTGTGTGGGGTTTTTTTGTTTCGTTTTGTTTTGTTTGAGCAATAAAAATGTAGTCACTCAGAAAAAAAAAAAAATAAAAGCTCAATAAATCATTCTAAATATTTACTTAAATGTTAGCACTGGAAGACATAGAATTATCATCTAGTCTAACTTCCTTATTTTATTTTACTTTATTATTTTTTACCTCCTAACTTGGACAGATAGGATACAGTTTTGTTTTGTTTTGTTTTGTTGGCAGCTGGCCTGTATGGACCTCCTCATTTCAGACGAAAAAACTGAGGGCCAGAATGTTTAAGTGATGTAGGATACAGTTTTGTTTTGTTTTGTTTTGTTGGCAGCTGGCCTGTATGGACCTCCTCATTTCAGACGAAAAAACTGAGGGCCAGAATGTTTAAGTGATGTGCCCAAGTCACAAAGCTAGTTCCTGCAGAGTCAGTTCTAGGTTTCACATGTTCTTTTTTCCTGCCTGGCTCTATTCTCACTGTATGGTAATGGCTCCTGTGCAAATGTGTCACCGACTAGTACCCCAAGAGGAGACGGTAGGAAATGAAGAGACACGTTTTATGGGATCAGGAGGACCTTTCAGGCTGCTGACCTGTAAGGCATCCTAGTTTATTTGAGATTCCTTTTTGTAAGTCAGTGAAAATAACAAATCGTACTGATTAAATCAGTTATGTCTGGTACCAAGCTATTTACAGAACATTTTCAGCTGACACAGCACTTGAAGATTCATAGCTAACTATTTATCAATAAAATAAGAACATAAATTTCTCATTTACAAAGCTTCCAGGGTCCTGGGTTCAATCAAAGGTCAGACCTCAAGGGGAGGGAGAAGGGGGAAGTAGGCAAAAGGGATGCCAGCCTTGCTGGCAAAAAGTCCTAGCAAGGACTTTGTCAGCTTGCTATTTAGTACCTCACACAAATATTAGGTTAAAAGTACAAATGAAATATCTGCATTTATGTGAAAACTTAGATACGGACATTCTCTGAATGGCCTAAAAGAAGTAATACTCTGCACCATTTGAAACCATGAAGATTATAACTCAGAATTCAGATAAACAGTATATACTCATATATATAAGTCATAGCCACAAAAGTTAGTAGTGTTGTACCAGTCATACTAACAGTCTGTGACTGGAATCTCGAATCCAATCACCATAAACAAAAAGACCTAAATGTTGTTATGGGCCCATGTGCAATAGTATCATTTTACCCAGATAAAATTAAAGGGGAGAGAGATGCCATAAAGATAAATAACCCTTAATTCCTTAAGTATACTTTTCAGGGACTGTTTTTTATGAAAATCTTATAAAAATGTACTACTATTATCTGAAAGTTTGCATCCTCCCAAAATCCATATGTTGTAACCTAATCACCAAGGTGATGGTGTTAGAAGGTGGAGGTCTTTGGGAGGTGATTAAGGGATTAGTACCTTATGAAAAGGCCCAGAAAGCAGCCTTCCCCTCCCACCATGTGAGGACACAGCAAAAGGCACTATCTATGAAGCAGAGGGCCCTCACCAGAAACGGAATCTGCTGTTGCTTTGATCTTGGACTTCCCAGCCTCCAGAACTTTGAGAAATAAACTTCCATTGCCTATAAATTACCCAGTCTAAGGTATTTTGCTGTAACAGTCCAGATGGACTAAGACATCTATTATGCACTAAGTATAAGGAACATAAAATGTGCTCTCGATGAATCACTGTGAACATCATCAGTAAGAATGCTATCCCATGACACAGAGATGTCCATAGGACCCAATAAGCATGTAGGGCTGTCAGCAGTTCTCAACATCTCTACTTTTTAGGCTCTTAAATATGTTTATTATTGATATTCCGGTCTCCTCCCTTCCCCAGAGATTCAGAGTCAAGTCTCTCTTTTGCCGCTGGAAGTGTGCCTCTACAGCACACTTTCTCATCCCCTTCCTAGTTTTTTATTTCTAAACTACTAAAGGCCAAGGGAAAAGTTAACTGAGCTTACTGGAAGTCAACATAAAGTAAGAGCAGTCAGGCTCTGAGGAAGGTCTTAGGGTCACTATTGGGAGGAAAGTGTGTAAAATTTCCTGTACTAGCTTTGTAACATCTTTGCCAGCTCTTCATAAACATTTTTGTTCTCGTCCCATATATTTGCTGTTTGAAATGAATGGATTAGTTATGTAAGAATGTGGGAATGGATATTCAATAATAATACAGAAATGCTGAAATGACATCTTGAAGAACCATGGATTACTTTTTAAGAAGACTGCAAAAATGTCCAGTATCTGTTGCTCTTTAAGAACTCAGTCCAATTTTATGCAAGTATTCTAAAAATTGTTGTTACCTCGTTCTTTCATGATATTTCCATTGTAAAACTGGTCTCGCCATACTTCATCATCACTTACAACCAGACTGAAACATAGGAGAATCAAAGTTACAATTTAACTACTATAAAGCTATCCAGAAGTACCTGAAACAACAAGAAACTGTAAGAAATCATTCTATCAGAGATTATTCATCTGCTCAATTTACTGACACGTTTTTGGAGAGAACATGACGCAGTCCTGAAAGTTTCAAGGAAAGATGGATTACCTTGCAGCTCTGCTAGTTGGAATTCCAAGATAATACATAGCCTCGCTACACAAGAATTCTCTCACTGAGGATCGAAGTACAGCTCTACCATCACCATGTCTACAGGAAATAAAATTTAAAAGATTTTCATTTGTAATTAAGACAACATCAACTTTATTTAGATGACTTTAAAGATTGCTGAAATGTACCGGGAGTATGGGGTCTTCCCTGAGCCTTTTAATTGGAGCTCCCACTTTTCACCCTGCCTTCAAAAAAGAAAAATTCTACGTATTACAAGACTCTAATATGTAGAGTAATAACTAATATTAATATTAATATGTTAATATTTAGCAGAAAAGCTGTCATACAAGAAAACATGCGATACCTGTTCATATAAATTCCAATAAGGTGGGCTCTTCCATCCCCAAGCTGATCTGCCCATATTCCAAACTAAAGGGAAAAAAGAAAAATTATTTATGTTTATTAATCTTTATAGCTTTCCTAATAATTTTTATAGGCAAGGTCATTTTGTCAAAATTGAGAATGAGGTATTGCAATTTTAGGATTATAATAATCAACAACTGGAATAAAGGTGAAAATACAATTGAATCAATAAAATATAAGAGAAATTCACTTAAAAATATATAAATTTAAAACATAATTCATTCCTTCACCATCTTATAGGTGAGCTCAAATTTATTAGCTGTGGAACACCTAGAACTGATCTATTTAATTAAAGAATATGAACTAGGAACAATTTATTAGTAGAAAATTTGCCTATATTATGCATATGCAATATAAAATCATAAACATACTTATACCTGAAAACATTGCTTTTGAACTTGCATGATTGTTTCCAAACTTTTCTGTTAAAATTTACTTATGGTTGTTCAATGCCACTTACTAGCTGTAGAAATTTGTATGAGTTACTTAACCTAAGACTGACCTTTCATCTCTGTAAAATGGGATAACCCTTCCAGGTTTTTGTAAGAATTAATGCTAACAGATGCAGAGTGCCTTGTACTATGTCCAACATATGCACATGTCCAAACGATGGTAATTATTATTATTGCCAATAATCATTTGCTAACTTAGACATCATTCCATTCTCAACATAGATGTTACTTCCACCACGAAGTCTTCTCTGACCTTCCAGGACTAGAAGGGTGGCCCTGTAAGTTCTCATAACTCCTCCTATACTTATCTAATCTTGATGCTTTTGGAATTCATTTATTCACCTGTCACTTCCCGTAGGGTATTACTAATTTGAGGGAAGGGGGCTGGTCTGATTCACCACTCATTATAGCTCCTGGTACATAAAAGGAGTTCTATAAACAGCTGTGGAATATTCATATGATGCTCAATTTCTGGGAAAAAAACAGGAAATTGAGAAAAATCTATCCAATATTTTAATTTTTCACCTTAACCAGGAATTGACAGCCACTAATTAATTTTAGCAATGAAACACCTGTAAGAGCACAAGTCTGAGACATGCTCTCAGCACACTCTAGAAAAGTTCTATAGTCTACAATACACTAAGCATAGCCCACACCATGAAAGGAAAGTAGAAAGAATGATAAATCCAGAGCTAGGAGTGAAATCAGGGGAATCAGGAAGCTAGTTTCCCATCAGTAAAAGAAAATTCATTTACAGCACTGTAAGTTCAAAATGGCAAAGTCATACTTATAAATAAATATAATTTCAGATCAAGGAGAAGCAAGAGATGAATGTGAAATTGACAAAAGCTTTAGCCTAATTTACTATACTACCAAAAAAAAACCTACAGAAAAGAATGGTTTAATGAAACTCTGAAGGTTTAAGGTTTGTATTTGTACTTTAACAGTATGTGTGACACTGACATAAAATGCTTTCAAATAAATTTAACCCACTTGCAAGCTGGCTTTTTGAACCATGGAATTCCTGCATTTGGGTGCTAGAAGAAACCGTAAGGATAATTTAGTCCAGAAGTATCAAAACTGAGCAACAGAATTCAGCAAAATGTTAACAGTTATTCCTTATAAACAAAACTGCAGTCAAATATGTTTGGAAAATAGTATGTTAAATAAAATTAACCAGATTTCTTTGCTGTAGCACTTTTCACAACTGCTGGAATAATCTGCAGCAATTCTCACATTACAGATCAAGAAATTAAGGATTAACTTTGTCACAGATGATCCTTAAAGTCCTTCTAATGGTCTATATTATTTTGCTTCTCAGCCTACTAGACTTTGAAGAAAGGAATTAACAAGCCCAACAAACCAGACCCTGAGGTTATAATAATCATTCTAATAGCTGACACGTAAGCACTTTTCATGTATTTCCTAATTTAAGCCTTACACCAACCCTATTACATTTTATTACTTGTCTTAAAAATTATTCCTTAGTAAACTAGCAACACCAAAACAGCCCCCAAACCACAGAGTGCCAAATTAATCGTATCTAGCTTAAAGGAAAGTCACAGAAATTTTGACAATTGGTCCTATGTTCTGATTTCCTTTTTTTCTTTTGGTGGCTGGCCAGTACAGAGATTGAACTCTGGACTTTGGTGTTATCAGCACCACTTTCTGAGCACCTGAGCAAACCGGCCAGCTCTCCTTTACTCTTTATAAATCAGATATCACACCCCGAACTTGTTTCAACATCTTGCTTTATTTCTACAATATGCCCAATTGCTTCCTGATTGCTACAGCATATAGTGTATCACCCTCTATAAATCTCGATTTGTTGGCTTTCTAACAGTTCTATAACTCTGCTCTACAGCTATCCTGGCTAAATTACAATCTACCTAACCTTTTGAGATTTTTATACTTACACATTGTCCTACTTGATTTTGCCTAAATCTCTTGCCAAAACTGCACTGAATGAGTTCCCTAGCAATAATTCACATAAATTTTATATTTGTGCTGCCCCAGTTTTCTCAATTCCATTAAAAAAAAACAGGAGAGCCAGTCAAGATGTCAGAATAGATGGTCCCCAGCGTCACTCTCTCCCACAAATCAACCAAATTTACAACTATAAAAATGTAACATCAGCCAAGCCAGGGCCGTTGGAGCTCAGGGGAAGAGGAGGAGAGACCTACGGAGTTCACAAAGCGGGGAGAAACTACGATGAGAGAAAGAATAAGCTGCTCTGAGCGTTTCAGGCCACGGCTGCTTTAAGGCTCGAGCTGATGAGCAACGTGGAGCAGGAGCCGGCAGAAGCCGCAGCTGTGCCCTTCAGATGGAGTTACTTGGAGGCAGCAGAGGAGAAAGGGCCTTGGTGGCCCCCAGGACAGCAAAACCACTAATAGGTTTCCCATGGACCCACAAAGGAGCGAGGAGCCAGAACAACTGAAAAAAGGGAGCCACTCAGAGGCCAGTGAGTCATCGCAAGGGACCGGCACAGCGCCCGTCCCATGGGAAGTGTTTGGAGCTCGGGTGGTGGGGGAGACAGGCCCACCAGGAGAACACTGGGACACAGCAAGGACAGCTGATCTGCCCCTCAATCGGCACAGGACCACTCAGAGGAGACTGGTCGGGAATGCAGAATTGCATGGGGTGCAGTTTGATGAAAAAACTCAGGCCCAGATCAGAGATTCTACAGATCACACATCCACCAGGTCTCTGCAGAGCCGGAAGTACCTATAAGGTCAACCATTAAACCCTGAGCTGCACAAAAAGCCTTCCCTAGGGAAACAGCAGCAAAGGAGCAATTTAAACAACCACACACTCAAGTACTGGTTCCCACAGGAAGTTCCCCCATATTAGAAGCAAACGACAAAAAATTAGTTCTGGCCCAGGCACACCACCAGCACCTTGGGGCCTGCCTGAGAAGTGGAGGCTTGGATCTGGGGACCGGACCACACTCCCACTTCCAGGCAAATTGCACCAGTGCCTCGGGGCCAGCCTGGGGACCTGAAGCATGGAGAAGGGGACTGGACCCCCCTCCCACAACCAGACACACCACACCGGCATCTTAGGGCCTGCCAGGGACCCGAGGCAAGGAGAAGGGGACTGGACCTCTCTCCCACAACCAGGCACACTGAGCCAGCGCCTTGGGGCTCACCCAGGGACCTGGGCTATGGAGTTGGGGACCAGAACACCCTCCCACAACCAGGCACAACATGCCAGCACCTCAAAGTCCACCCAGGGACCCAGGGCATGAAGAGGGGGACCGGACCTCACTCCCACAACCAGGCACAACATGCCAGCACCTCGGAGCCCACCCAGAGACCTGAGGCAAGGAGAAGAAGAACAGTACTCTCTCCCACAACCAGGTACACCGCACCAGAGCTTCAGGGCCCGCCTGGGGAACCGAGGCGTGGAGAAGGTGACTGGACCTCCCTCCCACAACCAGGCACACCACGCCAGCACCTTGGGGCCTTCCAGGGACCCAAGGCAAGGAGAAGGGGAATGGACCTCTCTCCCACAACCAGGCACACTGAGCCAGCACTTCAGGGCCAACTGGAGGACCTAAGGCATGGAGAAGGGGACTGGACCTCTCTCCCACAACCAGGCACACCATGCCAGCACCTTGAGGCCAGCCCAGGGACCCAGGGCATGGAGAAGGGGACTGGACCTCTCTCCCACAACCAGGCACACCATGCCAGCACCTTGAGGCCAGCCCAGGGACCCAGGGCATGGAGAAGGGGACCGGACCTCTCTCCCACAACCAGGCACACTGAGCCAGTGCCTTGGGGCCCACCCGGTGACCTGAGGCATGGAGCCAGGAACCACACCCTCCTCCCACAACAAGGCACACCACGACAGTACCTCAGGGCCCACCCAGGGACCTGAGGCAAGGAGAAGGGAACTGGACCTCTCCCCCACAACCATGGAGGTTGTAAGGACACCGTGGACACTCAAGCAGAGGGGGAGGAGGGAGAGCATTCCCTAGCAATATGGCGCCCTTCCGGGTTCTTCTCCGCAGTAAACAAGCCCGCCGGTGTCAACACCCAAGCCCATCTGCGCCAAACCTCAGCCAGTCACAGGTCAAGGCTCACCTCCTGCCCAGCCCCGTCCAATCAGCTACCGCCCCGTCCAATCCCTATCAAAACCCGGAACGCAGCTCCCTATAAATATACACGCAGTCCTTGAATAAAGCGGAACTTCTCTGGCGAACTGTCAGCTCAGGTCCTGTCGTCTTATCAGCTCGGGTCCGTGCGCCCTTTCAGAGGGCCTTTCAGGGCCCGCCCAGCCCAGAGGCTTGCAGAAGGGGACTGGCCCTCTCTCCCACAACCAGGTACATCAAGCCAGTGCCTCAGGTCCCACCCAGTGACCTGAGGTATGGAGCCAGGGACTGGACCCTTCTCTCACAGCAGGCACAAAACACTAGCACCTCGGGGCTCACCTGGGTACCCAAGGCATGGAGAAGGGGACCAGACCCTCCTCCCACAATCAGGCACATGGCGCTAGCACCTTGGGGCCTGCCCAGGGACCAGAGGCATGGAGAAGGGGGCCAAACACACCCCACAACCAGGCATACCGCCAGTGCCAAAGAGCATACCAAAAAGAGCACCTCCACATGGGTGGCCCACCACAGCCATCACAATAAACAAGGCTGCTGCAAAAGTTTCTAGACACCACAACCACCACACAGATGGTCCGCCAACCACTGGAGTGCATTCACACAAGAAGAGTCACCAGCAGAGACAAAGAAAAGAACAGTATGTCTCTCTCTAAAAAATCCATTTCAGAGTGACAGAAGAAGCATCTGCTTTATGATAATATTGGGGGACCTGATCACATCTCTCAGCATTGGACAGATCATCTAGGCAACAAATTAACAAAGTAATCATTATTCTTTCAGAAGGAGAGAAGAAATCTAGGGCAATTGGTGGGGGAGGGAATAGGGAAAGGGGAGAGATTGGACAAGGGGCATAAAGAATAATTACAATTTGTAACAATATATATGCTAGTAATATTGATTTAATCAACATATCTCAATGTTCAACCCCCCAAATATGTATAATTGATTTTGATTCAATAAATAAATTTTAAAGATAAAGAAATAAATAAATAAAAATAAAAAATTAATAAGTTTGATGGCACTTAAAAAAAAAAAAAACTTAGGCTCCAGCTTTATCACAGCAAGAAATCACATCAGCTAACCTATAAACATCTTATGATTAACACATTCTTCTAGAAATATCTTGTCGAAGTCTCAATATGCTAGTATTAGAGTAATTAATGCAAAATAATTTCTTTAATAGGATAGCATTTCCACCAAATGTTTATATTTGTATAAGGGAAGTGAAGCGTTGCTGCTGCCACTCTTACCTGATGCCCACCATACCGGTGAGCCAATGGAACAGATCCAAACACTATCTTTTCACCACTTACAAGCTGGATAAAATCATCTGTTTCTGAGACAGATAAATCAAGGTCCAAAATATCTTCTAGAACTTCCTGGGGCAGGAAAAAAAAAATCTTACAAATCTAAATAATCATTTAATAATTTTTCAGGAAAGAAACTTGAAAGAAAATTTTTTAAAAAATCTCTTCCAAAAATACATTATTAATATTTTTTATAAGAGATGTACCATATTTTCTATGATTATTTATGCTATTTGGGAAAAATTAGTTCTATCAGATGGTTCTAAAAGTTTTATGGGTTTCTTGTGATGCATGGCAAAATAATATTTTTCTGAGTACATATTCTTTTAAGGAAATAGAAAGAAGGAAATGTCTCATTTTTATCCTAAACTCATTCATGATATGACAGAACAATTTAGAATTTGTGGGCCGGCCCGGTGGCGCACTGCTACAGTGCGCCGCTTGGGAAGCGCGGTGGCGCTCCCGCCAAGGGTTCGGATCCCACATACAGACTGGCCGCTCACTGGCTGAGCGAGGTGCGGGAGCAACACCAAGGGTTGCAATTCCATTGCCGGTCCCGGTCCGGTACGGGCACGACACTGAGGGTTGCAATCCGTTGCCGGTCACGAAAAAAGACAAAAAGGAAAAAAAAAAAAGAATTTGTTACTAGAGGCCAATTCTAAAGGTTATCTAAGATAAGAATTCAACTCGTTTCCCTCTTTTTTCACAAAAGTGTATTTTCCTTGTAAGATAACTTTAGGATGAAACTAAGTACTAAACTCCAGGAATAAATATCAAAGTGATTTCTAAGAATGACAGTCAACAAGTATCTAAATTTTAAACACAAAGACAGTCTTTTACCAATAGACTAATAACATTAACTCTGAAAAAAAATTATCTCGTTTTAGACAAATGTTTTAGTAAGTTAAGTATTTGTGTTGTGAAAAAATAAAGCCTAACCTTTGAAACTGCTACAAGACGTACTCTTGATTTGAAAGCAGTTGGGAAGGCAACTGAAAAAATACAGTTTTTCACTTTACGAACATAATTTTCTTTAACAGGATCAACTGGCAACACAGCTGATAAAAAAAAAAAAACTCTTCTTAATGTTCTCATTTGTTGCATATACAGCGTTAATATTCCTTAGAAAAGATATAAGCCACTATTTTCTTCATACTTTGTTATTTAAAGGCTATTTTAACATTTTCAACATTTTCTATCCAGCACTCATGTAATACAGGATACGAGACTGTCCAAGAGGATGGAAGATGGAAAAAAATTAAAACAGCAAGACATATACCCTGTCTTCAAATATTTTCACTCATGGGAGACAAATAGGGCCTGCAACATATTTATAAATAAGAATATATAAATAAAATGGAAGTGAGCTGCATTACAGTATTAGTATTTTAGTACTAGTCAATTCAATGGACCCAAAATATATCATGAACTTAATCACACACACTTTGCCCTTTAGAAACTCACAATTAACTGAAGGAAACAGATATATACATAAATAACTCAACAACCAGGAACATATGGTTTACCAGATGTACAAAACTGCTCTGGCTCCCATAAGAAATTTCAAAATATTTGACATGTGCCTGTTCACAAGACTAGAAGTTTAAAATTGCCTCTAAGAAACTAACAGTGTTTCATCAAGCCCGTGCACTAAAGCACATGTACTATGTTAAAAAGCTATAAAGGAAAAGAGCATCTAAACATGCTTTAGAACCTCAGAACATATTTACTCTTATTTTACATACAATTCTTAAGCTCTTAATCTGCTTTCCTAATCCAGAACAATTAAGCAAACAAAACCAATAGAACAATTAAAAAAACAAATAGAACACAGTAAGTGTATTAATTAAACTACAAGAGTAAGAGACACAAAAACCTATGTTTATGGACAGAGATGATTTGTTAAAATGTGTCAATGAATTATTTAACAAACATAATGGGAATCCAATGAAAATCCTAGTAGGAGTTTTTAAAGAACCAATCTTAAAGTGCAAATCTGGACAAACAAACAAATTAATTTTTTCTACATAAGAGAAATGAGAGAGTTTGCTTATATTAAAAATTATAAGAAACAATAGCTAACAATATTTTTATCCCCCAAATAGATGCAAAGATCTATGTAACAATAAAAAGCACAAGAGTGCTGGCTGGTTAGCTCAGCTGGTTAGAGCCCAATGTTATATAACACCAAGGTCAAGGATTTGGATCTCTGAAAATGATATTTCAAATCAGTGGAGAAAGGTGGCGTAAGGACAATTTGCTCAACTGGCTATAAAACCTGGTCCTATCATAGATAATGTATTTTGTATAGTATTATCCATATAGCAAGAAAATGTCATGAAGTGTAGCCAACATGTCAACATTGAAATGACAACTTTGAAAATACTTTCAGTTTCTGACTTAGTGCATTTTTATCCATCAGCACTGGTTGTTTCATTTGTATAGGTGCAGTAAAAAAAGACCAAAGTTGTTTTTAGACTGCGCACAAGAGAAGTCTGTTCTTTAGCTGTTACCTGCACAGCTCAGATGATGTTTTTAACTTCCTAGGTGGATGATTGGCATATTTGGGTCAAAAGAACTACTTTTGAATTTTGCATCCTATTGACAAGTTATTGTTGTTCCTCAAAAGTTTAGCTACACAATAATGTTGGAAACCTTAATGAACTTCATCTGCTTTCCCCCCTTATCTTGCCATACTATGACTAAGAGCCAGGTTCTTTGTTTAAATCTGTCTAGGCAATCTCTTAAATGAAAATGGTCTGACAGAATTGCATAGTGCTATACTTAACAACTGTGTGAGCTTGGGAAAGATACTCAAAATACTTACTGTTGGGAAAACAAAATAATTTAATCAGGCCCCCTCGCCTTAGGAGGGTTGCAGGTGGTTGCAGGTGGTGCTGCGCATTCTTTGTAAGCAACTTGTGTGTGGGTGGAGTTAGTGGGAACACTCAGCGCTGCCATGTGGCTGGCATTTTACTGCCTCCGGCGACCACCTCATGCAGCCCATTGCTCTCGAACCTACGGCTCCAAGGACCTTTTTGCTGGTTACCTAGCTCGGAGACTTGCATGTGAAGGGTTTGTGACCCACTGTGGACAACGGGCTTGAAGGGTCCGTGAGCTCCAGACCCAGCCGTAGCTCAACACTTACCTTAAGGTCTTAAGATAATTTAATCATAAGATTGCCAAGTACAATACCAGTGTTAATTGCTGAACTCTTCTTTGGCACATTCTGTTGGACGTTTCTTAATGTGTAAACCTAATCTAAATCAAGATTATCCACAGAAGCATATTATCAACCTTTACTTGTAAAGCACGTTTTATGTTTTTAAATACTATTCTTCAAGTTGGAAAAAAGCCATAAATTAGTTTATTTTAATAGACTTCTTTATATATCCTATGATGCGTTTGTTCAATAAAAAACTACACTTTTAAAATAAATGAGAGTAATGTCAGCTATAGGGCTATTTGTATCCTTTACTGCAAGAAGCGTGGTTCAGAAGAACCCGAAAAACTATGTATCACAGAATTACAGTTACCTATTTGCTGGTCTATTTCGTCATAGGAGTGAATTTTTTTGAGGACTAAGTTTCTTTTATTTCTGCATCCCTAATGCGTACACACTCTCATTGGCTCTGTGTCTGTGTGTGTGTGTGTTAAATGCTTAATTATATCGCAGGTTTGTTATAAATAGGTTGTCTCTCAGAATCGGAAGAGCAGACCTGGCAAGACTGCCCAACTATACCTATAAGGTCTGCAGAGGAGAGAGTCCAAAAGTCGAGAGATGAGGCTAATTTAGCTTCTGTTTCGCAATAGTCCTGACCGTGGTTTGACCCGTTACTGGCAAGATGCAGAAGGCTGGCACTTCCTTCAAGAACAGATTGTAAAAGGCCGCAGACGACAGAGTGGCAGGCCACACCCAAGAGAAGCAGCCGCTAATTTAGCTTCTGTTTCGCAATAGTCCTGACCGTGGTTTGACCCGTTACTGGCAAGATGCCGAAGGCTGGCACTTCCTTCAAGAACAGATTGTAAAAGGCCGCAGACGACAGAGTGGCAGGCCACACCCAAGAGAAGCAGCCTCGGCAAGTGCAGTCTCCGGATTAGGCCGCAGCACGGGAACCCGATCCTTTGCGTCATAGTTCGGCCTAAATCCGCAGAGCAAAAGAATTAGTGGCTGCAAGTCCGGCGCACTGTGCTACTTCCTGCTAACAGCCGGTCCCCCAAAGGTGCATTTCTGCTATGACTGTCGCAGTGACCGCTCCCCCGAGCAGTTTCAGGGAAGGACTGGGGACAGAGGGCTCGCCCGTGGAAGGTCACGCACGGTGTCCCGCGGGCCTGGCCGCTTCCGCGCGCTTTCTCCTCCGCCTCCCCGCAGCGGCCGGGCGTCCCCACCAGCTCCCGGGCCGGGAGGCGACCAGTCAGGCTCCGCGTAGGTGTCCACGAGCGCGCCAGCCGCGTGGCCGCGGGGCGAAGCGCTTCCTGTGCCAGGTTTCCGGCTCCGGGTCCACAGAGGAGGACCTCCGGGCCAGAGGCGGAGCTGCCGCGCCGCCGCCACTTTCGGACTCGGACCATGGCCTCGCGCTGGTGGCGGTGGCGGCGCGGCTGC